TAGATACATATAACATCAATAATTTTAAAATATAAAATATTACTCTTTTATATAAAAAAACTAATATTATAAAACAATTGTCATAAAAAATTAAATTATAAAACTCTTAAATTATAAAAAAAATAAGTTTCAACATAAATAACTTCAACCGTCTTTGTATAAAAAATAAAAAGCACATAATTCATACATAAATAACATAGCAACAAAATAGATTCTATATCAGTATCATATTCATCACATTGAATTTCATCCCCTCCAATGTCATCTTCACTCTCTTGATCACTGTCAACCAAAACATTCACATTATCTACAATATAACAGTTAATAACAGTTGTTGTAATGTCATCCCTATGCAAAGATATATTTGCTGAAAACTGCATTTCCATATCGCGATCATAAATTTCAAAATCTTCATCAACATTAGAGACTTCATCGTTTTCAATAGTTTGCATCTCTGGAACATCATATAAATGTCTATGGTGAAACTTTTGAATTACTCTCCAATCTTTCCCTAACATGGTATCATCCAAATAAAAAATGCTTAGCATGAACTGCCAAGATAAATGGGTCACTTTCATACCAACATTTGCTAATATTGACCGTCTTTGTGAATTCTCCTCCTTTTATCACCCAAGTCAAACCACTTGCACTTGAACAAAACAACTTTATAATCATTGATATAATTCAATTGAATAATATCATCCAGTACACCATAAAAGTTGATTTGGTCCTCATTGTGATTACCTTCAACTGTCACTCCACTATTTTGACTTTTCAAATGTTCATCACGTGCTATAGTATAGAACCTAACCCCATTAAAAATGAAAACTGTGTAATTTTTAGCACGTCTATCAGGACCATAATCTAAAGAAAGCAATTCACTAGATATTCTTTATGAACCTTGATTGGTAACCTGCAATTTGCATGAAATAAAATAAACATAAATTATAATTGATATTTGCACAATCTACAAAAAAAAAATATAATAGCATATGCTTACATAATTTTTAAACCATAAGGGAAATTGCTCTCTATGTCTTTCTTCAATATACAACGAACTTTGCAGCTGAATCTCCATTTTATGTTTTCTGTTTTAATAAACATAATATAAGTTAAATGACATTAAAAGTAAATCTTACATGAATTAGTAAATGGTAAGTAAATTACTTACTCCATAAATGGTTCAACTTCATCACAATTTGTCAATATATACCATTGCATCATTTCAAACTCTTGGTCAGACAAGAATTCATATTTTGAACTTCTTAAAGAACAAAAACTTCCTGAAAAAATAAGGAGACTATGATTATGAAATTCTTTCCCCCATCATCATCATCATTTCTATCTTGTCGATTAAATTCAGTCTCAATCCCAGAGAAATACATAGAACAAAAGTTCAGACATTTGGTTCAAATATATGACTCTTCTATACATCCTTCCGGACAAGCCTTGTTTCGTGTATACGTTTTAAGCTACCTAAACCTATTATATACAAAAAAACTTGTTATGAAAAAAATAAATTTATAATATTATAATTTAATTTAAAATATAAAAATTAAAGAATTACCTCTCAATAGGATACATCCATCAATAATGTACGGGTCCTCCAAGCATGATTTCACGAGGCAAGTGTATAACCAAATGTACCATCACATCAAAAAAACTTGGAGGAAAAATCTTTTCCAACTTGCACAAAATGATGGCACTATTCTTTTGTAAGTCTTCTACTTCATTCTTCTTTAGCATCTTACAGCATAATCTTAAAAAAAGTTTCCAAGTTCATCTAGTGCTTGAAACACATCTTTCGAAACGAAATCCCTAATGGCAACTGGAATCAATCTTTGCAAAAGGATATGACAATCATGACTCTTCAACCCTGAAACCTTACCATCATTTACATTAACGCATTGTGAGATGTCCGAGGCATATCTATTAGGAAACTTTACTGACTTCAGAAAACAACAAAACTTTTTCCTTTCCTCCTTTGACAGAGTGTAACATGCATGAGGCAACAAGTAAGAACCATCTTCCTTTTTTTTCAAACGTAATTCTTTCTTGATTTTCATGTCCTCAAGATCTAATCTTGCAATTACAGTATCTTTTGTTTTCCCTTCAATGTTCAACATCGTTCCTAAAATGTTATCACAGATGTTCTTCTCAATATGCATGACATTTAGATTGTGTCGTAACTTCATTTTTTTCCAGTAAGCCAGCTCAAAGAATATGCTTTTCTTTGACCAATTCAACTCTTCAGGGATACGTTTCCTCTTCAATTTATTCGGATATTTTCCAAAGTCATTCTCTTTGAGACAATTTAATTGTTGTAACAACTCAATCCCAAATACATCTTTCGGCTTTGATCTATTTTCTATCTTACCATCAAACATTCTACTTTTTCTCCAAACATGATTATGAGGTAGAAAACGACGATGAAACATGTAACATATCTTATTTCTCAACTTTCGTGATGGCGCATCAACGTTACAAATGGGACATGCCAAATATCCTTTTGTACTCCAACCTGATAAATCTCCATAAGTAGGAAAATCATTTATAGTCCAAAGAACAGCTGCATGCAATTGAAAATGCTCATTCTTGTAAGCATCATAAGTCCACACTCTATTTTCCCATAAATATTTCAGTTCATTTATCAATGGCCTTAAATAGACATCAATATCTTTTCTTGGAGAGCTTCTTCCAGGAATAAGTAATGACATCATCATGAATGGCTCTGACATACATTTCCAAGGAGGAAGATTATACGGAATAACAATAATTGGCCATATACTATATGTACAACTCATATTCCCGAATGGATTGAATCCATCAGTTGCTAGGCCAAGCCTAACATTTCTCGGATCACTTGCAAACCATTCATTCTCCTTGTTGAAATCTTTGCAAGCATCTCATCCGCTGGATGCCTTAATGTATCATCATCAACACGCTTTTCTGCATGCCACTACATATCTTGTGTTATGCTCTTTTTCATAAACAATCGTTGGAGTCTTGGTTTCAGCGAAAAATAACTTAGAACTTTCCATGGTATTTTCTTCTCAACAACCTTCCACAGGGACGTTCCACATTTTGGGCAACTTTGTCTATCTTTGAACTCCCCCCAAAATAGAGCACAATCATATATGCATGCATGAATTGGTATGTAACTAAGTCCTAATTCTCTTAGAACTTTAAATGCATCATAATATGATGATTGAATTGTACTATTTGGAAAAGCCTCTCTCAATAGTCCCAATATCATATTTATTGTTTTGTTACTTATTTGGCAATAAGCCTTGATATGTAATAATTTAACAATAAAAGACAATGTAAACATGCTTGAATATCTGGTAATAAGACACGTTGCGCATCATTCAACACATTGTTGAAACTTTTACCTTCTTTTTCACTTTCACTGAAATTAAAACCTTGATTTGTTTGATCTTCATCTAAAATGGGAACAAATCTCCTAATAAATCATTTAATCCATCTACTAAGACTTCAGCATCATGAGATATCCCCTCATTAAATGGATCACTCCTACCAATGAAATCAAATTACTCACCATGATAAACCCATTTAGTATAACTTCTTGAAATACCTTTTAAAAGTAAATGATCTTCTACCTCATTTTGAGTTCTAACACATACATTTAGCATTCCCGAAAAGGACATCGAATTTTACATTCTGATCCTATATTACTTTTAACAAATTTCATGAAAGATGAAACACCTACAACATAGTTCGCAGAATATTTGGACTCCATCATCCAACTTTTATCCATGGTGTTAAATTATCCTAGTACGAAATAAAAATATATATAAAAGAGGTTAAGTACAAGATCAAATAGTTAAATTAGAAAAAAAAACATGAATTTAGAATTAAAACATGAGCATAGTTAAAACAACATAATACAACTTCATAGTAATATAGATCACATGTGAAACAACCATTGCTTTGGCAGTGTATATGTCAATTGGCAACATCACCTTCAGTTCTCGGCAAGGGAATAGCTTTCAAAAGGGAAGAATATGAAATTCATGAGGCATGAAATCTTCACTTGGACTATAGTATTTGTCCGGGGAATACAAGCTTAAGTTGGAGACAATCCTGTTGAACCTGTTGATGAGCAAGATGCACTTGATCTCTTCGAGACTGTTAAAAAGGGATGATTGAAATTAATATCATTATCTACCACTACTAATAAAAATAAATCAAGGTCTAAAGGCCTAACCTCCAAATCACCCAGAGTTGAAATCATATTATGCTTTTCATCATCACGAAGACTTTCAAATCTAAGTAACAAGAACAACTATTTGCAAAAATGAGAATGAAAGGAAAAGGAACCAAAACAAATAATAATAACAAAATTTACTAAAGCAAAGATTAAAATTCTCGATTGTACTAATGATTTGAAATTTTGAAGTGAATCTTTAATGATGATATCAAATATAGGGTTCCAAGATAGAATTATTCACTTTATCATTATGTGTGAAAACAGGGGTAGTGATACTAAAGACATCATTAAGGGGTAACAGAATTGATAACATCAATTTGAATGATCAAATCATAAAATCAATACTTACTTAAGAGATCACTTCAAAAGATGAACTTGGTCTTCAACAAGATCACGCTCGTTCCTCAACGACCTTAGTTGCTGCATGAACGTACATGTATCGGTTGTAAGGAATTAAAATGCTATTATAAAACAGGAACGTGGTAAGAGTTCTCATGCTTTAAAACTTCTACATGTTTTGGGCTAAATTCCCCTCAAATCTTACCAGACAGATAGATGGACCATGAGATAATATAGATATGGACTAACGAATTCCTATCAAGTCAAAAACAAAATATCGTCCAAGTTATGCCACTTGTGTGATTACAACACATTCTTCTTAATGAATTAAAGTTTAACAATAAATTACCCAAACAGTCCCATACAAAATTTAAATTCCATGATAAACATCAAACATGTAAATCCACCTTTCTCTTATCTCTTGATTCCCAAAGCAATTCAACCTCCCTCTCAAGCTCTGGAACAAAAGCATTGTCCTCCATCCTAATCATAGAAAAATTACAGATTTCAAAGCTCTTATGCATCAAGAGAAACAATGTCAGCATTACAGATTTGCATATATGATCAATGTAACACACTCAGTTTAGTGGCTAGTAGTTGGTATGACAGATGGAAGTAAGTAAATGGTTTGTTTTTCAATAATGCATTCCTTCATTTGAAGATAAAATAAAATGGTTGAAACTTTAACATGTCATTTGAATAACATACTTTTGAAACTTCACGCTACTTAACTTACGAACAAAAATGGCTCAGTCAATCAACCGAATTGGATATCAACCGACTTACAGAATACAGTGTTCCATGGTGTATGCTTTTCACGACGACATTGTCCTAGTTGCTGAAACAAAAAATGAGTTGAATAGTAGACTGGCTACCTGGAAGACTGCTTTGGAAGAAAAAAGTCTAAGGATCAATATTGAGAAGACAGAGTATTTATGTTCAAACTTCAGTGGGAACCAAAACGATGAAGATGTAGAAGTTTGCATCGAATGACACATTCTCCCCTCAAAGGATTGTTTCAAGTACCTAGGGTCTATGATACATAAAGATGGGGGTGTAGATGATGACGTTACACATCGTATAAAGGCGGGATGGCTAAAGTGGAGGGCTGCTACTGGAGGTTTGTGTGACAAGAAGGTGTCTCTAAAACTTAAGGGAAATTTTATAGAATGACAATAAGACTAGCGCTGTTGTATGGATCAGAATGTTGGGCTATCAATAAGGATCATGTAATGAGGATAGAGGCCGCAGAAATGAGAATGCTTCGATGGGTATGTAGTAAGACTTTGTGTGACATGACACCAAACTCTGTAATTAGGATGTCCTTGGGGGTGGTGCCTATATCCGAAAAATTGAGGGAGGGAAGACTACGGTGGTTTGGGCATGTTCTTAGGCGAAAACCGTCAGATGCGGTCAGGAGGGTAGAGTCGATTACAGTCGACTGTGCCAGAAGGAGAGGACGACCAAGGAGGAAGTGGGTAGACTGTTTGAGATTTGATTTGAAGGATTTAGCCCTTACCGAGACATGACCTCTGACAGGAAAGTATGGAGACTTAAGACTAGGGTAGTCGAGTAGTGCGGACCACACCCATAGGGTGTATCATCTCTATCTTCTTTTTAATGCCTTTTGTAGTAATTTCCATGACTTCTACTTTTTATACGGTTTTGTCATTGGAATTTATGAAGGCTTTAAACTAGGGTAGCGGAGTAGTGTTGCCTTAGTTTAGGTTTTAACTCATTTGACTTTTTACCTTCTCGTAGCTTTCTATCACTGACTACTACGTATCCTTCTCTTCATGTTTCCTCTTTTTAAATTTAGTCGGGACTTACGTTTATTGTCTATATGTAGATATTTTTACGCAGAGATTTATTTGCAGGGATTACTTCCCATTACAGATGCGCATTTGAAGACTGCTTATAAAGTCTGTTCAACTATGTACTTATTTATTTATTTATTTATTTATACATGTATTTTATTTTATCTTTATTTTTAATTTTCTGATTGCCGGAGGTCTTCCACGGAAGCTGCTCTCTACCTGGCGTCGGGGGCAACCTACTACCTTACCTCCCCTTTACCCCATTGCATATGAGAATAGGGTTTGTTGTTGTTGTTGTTGTGAATCTTGAAACTACTATTTCTTGCATATAAAAAACTGGCGGGCACTGAGTATAAGCACATACGTTAGAATATAGGGCATGGACTTGGTCAGTGACAGAAAATAAATATAAAAAAAATACTTGGTTATCTTTCAGAGGTCAAATCCAGAGAGCAAAAGATAAACCAAATATTCAAGTAGATGCAGTTTTTGTATGCTTTATATCACAACATTATAGCAAGTAGCAAATAATTCAACATACTTGTTCTTGGATAAACAAGGCAGAAGAATAAATCATGTTATTTAATTTGAACCTTTTTGGAGCAACACAAACCTAAAAAACCCCAATTGATGGCTCCACAAGATTAACACAGATTTCTGATAAGCATATAAACTGTTAGACACAACAAATATACATAGAAAGTAAGTTAATTAAAAAAATCTTTAATATTCAATCCAAAATAATTCTTTAAAATATATTAATAAATTATTTAATATATAGAAAGTAAGTTAATAGTTAGTAAATTAATATATAGTTGATTAAAATATATTAATAAATTATTTAATATATAGAAAGTAAGTTAGTGAATTATTTAAAGTATATTAATAAATTATTTAAATATAGTTGGTAAATTAATATAAATTATGATGTATACATCGAAATCGGTGAAAATGACATATATAGAAAGTAAGTTAATTATAGTTAGGGTGAGTGCTTGATAGAGTCAAGTCAAAAAGTTTTGACCTATTCGAGTTGACGAGTTATATTTTATAACTCAACTCACATTTAAGTTTTTTTTTAGTTATTCGAGTTATTATTTGAGTTCTATTTATAATTAAACTTGATTTTGAAATCTTTTAAGTTGAGTTAAGTCTATAAACTTATTAGTTGAGTTTTTTTCTAGTCGAACTAATTTGAAAAGATCAATTTTTGTTCGGACTATGACTGTTAATAGATTCAAATCGTCCATTCTTTATTCAATAATTGTTGGATACAACATAAAAGTATATAACTTTTATTCAGATTGTGTGTTACTTATGAGCTTTCCTTAGCAACACATACAATTGATTGTATTATTTTTTGGTACAATAAAGTTTAGATCAGGGATAACACCCCAGTCAAAGGTCAGGGCATACCTAAGATCTAATTGAGATTTACATAGAAATTTACATATTTCCCACTAAGAGTGACGGTGGTAGGATTCAAATTTGGCCTCACAAGCTCAAATTCATGAATCTCAACCACTGTACCAACTCTCATTGGCATCGATCATATTATTTTAAATTCTACATATTTTTAAATAATTTAAAAATAATATAATAAGAAATAAATATAATTAATATGGTTATTTATAGTACAATCAGTTTAGGGTTTTAATAATCTTATTATTCATTTAAAATACAATAAAAACCAAACAATTATTTATAATTCTCATACACATGTATACGTTTTGAATTATTTTTTAGGGTTATTCTTGCTTGGTCCAGCCTAGGCCAAACCATTCAGCGGTGGTTAGAAAAACAAAGGGAAAACTACAGTGCTGCAGCTCCTTGATGTCCTTACATATGTACTCTTACCTTCTTAGGTGTCTCTTGATCCTCATTTGAACTTTCTTCTCCACTATCATCCTCATCACTGCTGGTATCAACATCACTTTCCTTCTCACCATTAATTGGATTATTTATTTATTATGAAATAGTTAAAAACAGTATTTACTTCAATTATTTTATACTTTAAATATTTCTAAAGAGAAATCTTTTTACTATTTTAAATTATTTAAATTATTTTTAATTTATCTAAATTTTCTATATTTTTCTAATTTTTAATAATTATGTTTAATATATTGGAGGTAATTTTTTAACTTCCCTCCAAATAAAAATTACGTTCCCTATAATAAAATTGAATATTCCTTATACATAGCATGATTTTTTCTAATTCATAATAAATCATTATTGCTTTCCTTATTCATTGATTTTCATTTTATAAAATCATTTGTGTATTTGACTTTCTTTAGAGTTAAGAATACCATCAATTGGGTTTTTTTTCTAGGTTTGTGTTGCTCCAAAAATATTCAAATTAAAGAATGGGATTTATTCTTCTGCCTTGTTTGTCCAAGAACATGTACGTTGAATTATTTGCTACTTGCTATAATGTTGTAATATAAAGCATACAAAAACTGCATCTACTTGAATATTTGGTTTATCTTTTGCTCTCTGGATTTGACCTCTGAAAGCTAACCAGGTAATTCTTTTTTTTATATTTATTTTCTGTCACTGACCAAGTCCATGTCCTATCTTCTAACGCATGTGCTTATACTCAGTGCCCGTCAGTTTTTTTATATGCAAGAAACAGTCTATTTACATATATGATTTAAGTATATATGTCGACGCAATCCCTAAGAAATCACTAAATTATATATGTGTTCGTTGGCTCAAATCCAAACTGTAGCACCTTTTATTAATTCACTGCTATGTTTTTATTAATAATGATTGGGCCTTAATCACATTCATGAAACACATTCATGAACTTATATAATTCACTGCTATGGGATAGGTTATGAACAGTACATGCGCCCAAGGTTATTTCCAAAACATATTGAAACTTTAAAATTCACTGCTATGGGTAGGATATGAACGGTACTGCTACGAAGTAGGATATGAATGTGTTTTGAATCTCATAGCAGTGAATTAATTCAAACTTGGCTTAGATCATACAAAATAAAACACATTCATGAACTTATATAATTCACTGTTGATGGCCTTAATCACATGGGAAATCATATTTCAAGTAAACCTATATGGAGGAATGTCACGTGTAATTTATATAAATTCAATAGTACTATTTTGATTAATTGGCTGAAAATATAATATTTATTTTATTTTTTATTAAACACAAATAGTAGCAGTATATACAACTAGACATTTAGCAGTATTTTGATCTCATTGCTAATATATATTACTTATAATATTTTTTTATATGTTTTAGGATGGCACCAGGTAAAGTATCTCGTAAAATGATTCGAACACAAGAAAATGAAACTCAAGAAGTCTCCAGTAAACTAAATCGAACCCAAAAATATGAACCTCAACAAGTTACTGATGCTCCAAATCAAACACATGAAGAAATTGATCCATATACAACAATTGCAAATTCAGGTAAACATTATTTCCAATATTTATATAAATGAATAAAAATGAGGATTGAGTAGTACCAATGATATAGTTAAAAAATATAAAAAAAAAATAAAAATATGTATATATACATATTATTTTCTTTGTAGCAAATTCTTTGACTTTAACGTTGAATAATTTATTTATTTTTATTATTCTAAAGTTAATATTTTTATTCTATAGATTCAACCAATTTATCACATTAAAAGGTACGAGGACCAAGTCGAGGTATGGGACTATAAAATCTCATGAAAGGTAAGAATAAATTGATAGTAGAGATACCAAAGGGAAAGGGTCAACCTATTGATGCAGTTCAATTAGTTAAATTATCTTCTGAAATTGGAATCATTTCATGACAATTCATATCGATACCAACAAAATGGAAGCATATGAAGGATAATGATAAACTTCATGCCCTAAAGAGACTCAAAGTGAGTTTATTTAGTTTAATATTTTCTTATTTTTTTAATATTTATGTACTTAATTTATCTAATTATATAATTTAGTTAAATTATGTCAAAGTTATCAAGGAACCATCGACATAAGGTTTATTTGCACTTTAAGAAATTCCAAAATGATGTTGTGGGACGCCAAAACAACCTGACACAATATAACTTGACACAAGAAAATTGTGAACAACTTTGTGATTTGTTTAGTGATCCTGAATATCAGGTACGATTACTGTAGTTTGATTTATGCGATTCATAAATTTTTACTCTTTTTTATTTCTATTATAAATTACAAATTATGTTTATACATGTTTGTAATTGAAGAGGAAGTGTGAAACTAATGCAAGAGTTAGAAGAAATGTCAAGTTAACTCCTAATCAAGGGTCTCGGGCTTTTTCGCTAGCATATATGCTATGGTAAGTTGGACACTTTTGATATTTATTATAAAGTTTATTTTTATTTTAAAGAGTAATTTTTATTTTTGAAATCATATAGCGCAAGGATGATGAAGAACCAAAGAGGATGGATTTCTTCAAGGCAACTCATTATTCAAATGACAAAGGATGGATAACATCTGAGGCACAAGAAAATATGTAAGACCTCATAAAATTAAGTATTAAATTGTAATTTTTCATCTAAGGATTGTTTTATATTTGAATGAATTTTTTAGGAGGAAATGGTGGAATTGCAATCAACTCCAGTTGAAGAAGGAGCAGAACCTAAGAATATTGATGATATAATGGATGAGGTACTTGGTACGAGATCATGATACATTTCGGGGCTTGGATATGGGCCAAAGCCTAAGAAAACAAATTCAAGTGCAGATACAATCGAGTTAAAAAAGAGTTTGAAGAATAAAGAAGATGAACTTAATAACTATAAGTTGAATTTTGAATTGATTCAAACTCAAATGGAAGCTATGAGATCTGCTTTGTTAGCTGTTGGAATTCAAGTTCCATCACTTCAATTTTTTGGTAAACATATAGTTAATCAAATAAAAATTATTATATAATATTAATTGTAGTAATGTTGATTATTTTAATTTGTAGCTTTAAATGATACCACGAACTCAACATCACCAGAATCACAACTGACTCAAGGTTTGGATTGAGATTGCTACAACGAAATATTCCACAAGTCATATTATTATCATATTATTTTTATTTTATGTAAACATTTAAACATGTTTATATTTATAAAAATGAAATTATTATGTTTTTAGTAAAATATTTATTTAAATCTTATTATTTTGCAATAAGTGAACTATTTTTTTATTTAGATTTCTATAAATAATTTTATTTTAATATACATAGTCATTAAAAATGTGGCAATTTTTAGTTTTGCCACTATATTGGTGACATTATATATGGCGACGTTATGCATAATCATCATTCATAATATTATTAGGTAACAATATATTATGTCACTAAAAATGTGACAATATCTCTTTCGTCACATATAAGTTGATTTTAATGCATTATTTGTGACAATATAAATTATCAATAACGAATTTTATTTAATTTAGTGACGTAACCATCTGTCATAAAATATAAATTATAAAGTGACGTTATGCATAAACGTCATTCATAATATTATTAAGTAATATTTATATTATGTCACTAAAAATTTGACAATATCTCTTTCGTCACATATTGGTTGATTTTAATGTATTATCCGTGACGATATAAATCATCAATAACAAAATTTTACATAATTTAGTGACATAATTAGTTGTCATTGAATATTAATTATAAGTGACGTTATATATAAATGTCATCCATGCAAATATTAGGTGACGATATACTACGTTACTAACAATGTGACATTTCTTTTCGTCACGTATACAATAAATCATTGTGTTATTTGTGACTATATGATTTATTAATGACGAAAATGTACATCATTTGGTGATAAAAGTAATTTTCACTTAAGATAAATTAAACTGTGACGTTATCCATTAGCGTCACTATATATTTAATAATACATGACGATAACACATACATCGTCACTTTTGACATTTAATGACACACCTAGGGTGACGATCGTCGTGACATTGACTTTTACGTCACAAAATACATCTAGTGACATAAATTGAAGTTTTAGTTATAATAACCTAGATGCCACTAATAAGAAAATTTGTTGTAGCGGCAAAGGCAAGTACGACACTAAGAGGACCACCGCTGTCCACTCTCACAAGATGGCAAGCACCTATGTCTCGAATGGGGAAAGTAAATTTTGACGCTGGTTTTGCGCAAAATCGGCAACATGCATGGACAATTGCAATAATTAGAGACGACCATATATTAATAATGGGAGCTAATAGGAGTGTTTCCAAGGATTACCTCTGTTTTCATGGCTGAAGTCACAGCAGCTGTACATGCAATTTCATTAGCAGCGAATCTGGGTTTCTCCGAGATTGTCGTCGAAGGTGATTTCAAAACCATC